GTAACACCGGTATAACTTCTAAGTAATTTTCTCATAACTCAAAAGTACTTAATAAAAATGAGTTTTATTGTAGGGTTTTCGAAAGCTCTCGAGCTATAAGAATATGCAATAAAAAATAGGGGATTCCATTAAAAAAAATCTATTTGACCTTGACCTGACCTTGATGACGCCATCTAAGATCAAACGGATGTGATCAGTAAGTAGATCTTTTTAAACCCTACAACTTTTGTCTGAAACTTTTTTCTCAAAAATGCTTTGCTTTCGAGATATTTGCTCCTAGATTTTTTATACACCTTCTATATATCTATAATACGACAATATTAAATTTAAATTATGTAAAGAAAGAATTCTATTTGAGGCTATTTCAAATTAATCAAATTATATTATTTCAACAATAAACAAAAATAAGTGACTAAAAATTTAAAACAATATTATGAAGGGCAAACACCGCTACGCAAGATATTGGAAGCGAACAATATTTAAATTTATTAAAATCACAGAGAACAATTCTAAATTAAATATAAACGTTTCGGTCTTAATTAGACTATTTTCAGTATATATACATATAAATATATATAAAATATTTTGCACGATGCTGTTATTGCAGTTAGTTTAACAAAATGCCTTAATATGTGTAAATCGAATCTTGTCAGTTACATTAAAATCAACGTGGAAACGCTCGTTACATTATAAGTTATATACGGAATATAAAAATTAGTCCTTTAAGAGATCATGTACAATTAGTATCCATTTTTTGGAAAAGATTGGCTAGATGCTCGAATAAGATTTCCAGATTCTAATATAAAAAAATTGTTTTCTCTATTATATACAATCGTTAGAAGAGATGTATACAATTCTTGTACTAGTTATACTACATACCTGCATCGAAAACATAAGTCAAAAAATCAGATTTGTTAAAAAGAAAAAATTATCTTGGTTATAGCTATCGATACACACAATGTAGTGCTCCCTACCCTGAGTTACTACTTATATATATGAACATCTCTGGTAAGATAGAACGGGTAATCTTAATGTTGTGTGGCAGACGTGACATTAGAGGTTAATCTTAATGTTGTGTTGGAGACTATATTTCCCTACTTAATATCACGTCCTCTACACAACATTAAGATAATCCCCTATCTTATCAGAGATGTTCATGTATATAAGTAATGACTCAAAGTAGAAAAGATTATCTTGGTTACAGCTATGAATAACATAATGTTTTGTTAAAGATAGTTAATATCTTTTTGTTAAAAGATTTGTTAAAAAGAGTAGTATAATTAGTATAAGAATTGTGTATACTTCTTCTGACGATTGTTTATAATACAGAAAAAAAGTTTTTTTATACTAGAATCTAAAAATTATGTGTTCGAGCATCTAGCCAATCTTTTCCAAAAAATGGATACTAATTGTACATGATCTCTTAAAGGACTAATTTTTATATTCCGTATATAACTTATAATGTAACGAGCGTTTCCACGTTGATTTTAATGTAACTGACAAGATTCGATTTACACATATTAAGGCATTTTGTTAAACTAACTGCGATAACAGCATCGTGCAAAATATTTTATACATATTTATATGTATAAATACTGAAGATGGTCTAATTAAGAACGAAACATTTATATTTAATTTAGAATTGTTTTCTGTGATTTTAATAAATCTAAATATTATTCGCTTCCAATATCTTGCGTAGTGGTGTATGTCCTTTATAATATTTTATATTATTATATTTATTTACAAACTTAGCTCATAAAAGATTCTTATTTTGTGTAAACTGTTATACAGAAAAAAATGGTTTTATTAAAATAGCTAAAAATGTAGCTATAGATTTAATATTAGACTATCAATCAACATAATTATATATATAATAATGTACAATAGAATGGTCAAACTAATTAAAATTTTTTGCAGCATTATTCATCATTCTTGAGATTTCTACGTAATTATGATCATAAGACATATTATGTCTATGATGTCTTATGATGATCCAAATTATTTTCAGATCTGTATCTAGCTAAATTTTTAAATTGTTCTTTCCGTATGGCATTCTTGAAAAATACTCTTTATTTAAACATCTATATTTTGTAGCATATGAAAAACATTGCATTTTCGTATTATCATATTCTATAATATGGTAATCCCTTCAAAACAATTTGTTGAAAAATAGCTGTTTTTAATAATTAGGATTTTATATATATATTATATATATAATCGTCCCATTAGTTCTAAGCAGCTTGTTGATAGTCACGTATGTATATAAAAATTGTATCTGTAGTTCTCAGATCAGAAATATTTTTGATCTCAAATCAGTAATATAATTATTGGGGATTTAATTAACCAAATTTCAAAATTCTAGATTTGTATAGTTTCCTGATGAAAGTTAATCTTTAAACTAGGAAATTGAGCTTCAATCTCACCTCGAGATTTCTTTCGCGCATATTTCTTCTAATAATTTGAAATATTTTCCACTCACTTTTGCGAAACAATTTACATTTTGAAATTAATTATAATACATGTTTTCGTCAGACGTTCGCACGAAACGAGAGGCGATGTCACGCTGATGTTTTTTTCCCTCTTTTTTTTTTTATTACGTCACACTCATCTCGCCGCAATCTCTTCTCTTGCATGCGTGTGTTTTTCTTATCTGGTTTTCCACATCCTATCTCATCTCTGAGAATGTTACGCCGCAACACTCGCACGCTCAATATGCGCAAAATGAAACGGGAATAAAATCACACATGTGGCTTCCATAAATTCGGCTTGATTGAATAAAATATTTTATTATATATTATAATATTATATTTTAATGTATATCATAATCTTATTATACAATATATATATATTTATAGTTTGATTACATTTTATATCCTTGATATATCCTTTTGATTTATTGTATTAG